AATTAGGAGAACAACTAAGATGACAATTTCTATTAATAATTTATTGGGAGTATGAGTTTACAGAACCAGACTAAGATAAAAGGTTGTATACTGTATACTTTTGTTTGTCAAGAGAAAACAGCTTAGTGATACACGCAATACCAAATTCATCCCAAATTCTCTCTGCATTATCTGATGAAAGAACTTGATTCATCCTCAGGTAAATGCCTGTTCAAGCATAGATCTGATCCTTGGTGTTCTGACTTGGTCTGTGGGTTGTACCTGGCCGAGCTCATCAGATAATCAGCATCTTCTTGAATGCTAATAAAATTCGAGAGCTTGTCCTCCCAGAGCTTCGGACGTGTGGGCTATCAATTTTGTCCCTTAAGGAATTTTCAGCTATTCGATACATAGATTACAGCCTTAGAAGTAGAAGGCGTTCTGGTGGGATCCTCACGGACAGAAAAAGATTGCAGTCAGTTTGATAATGATCGAGTGACATTGCTTCTTCGGTCCGAACCAAGGAATCCCTTAGATATGATGCAAAATGGATCTTGTTCTATCGTTGATCAGAGATTTCTATATGAAAATCTATGTCATTAGGTGTTCTAAGTTTTTTACATTTATTTGTTGGAAACACAGAAATAAATCAGCGGCTAGTACAGCGGTTCTGTTTAGTGAAGGGAATGTATATAGAGAAAAAGAGTGAGTGCTTGTAAGTATACCTGGCCTTAGGTTTTTGGAAATTTTAGGAATATAACCCCTCTTTCATGCAAGGGCTGGATAGTCAAATGTATTATACAAATGGTTGTAAAAGGTTACTCTATATATGTACGCTACTTTTGATGTGAAAATACAGAATCTTTCATTTTATTTTCCATATAATATTTCATATCATTGAGTCTCTTTATTCTTTAGCATAGACTTATGCAGAAGAATTTGAACATATATGAATATATGATCATGTCTGACGGCTGATAATGTGGGTGAGTCTCAATATTTCTGGAAATTTTGTTGTAGATATGGTTTGAGAGGAAACTTTAGATCCACCAGATTAACTTATGCAATCCCAATGGATTCTCTTTTGTAGATTACAGATTAGATGTGGTAGGGTAAACGCAAATGAAAAAAAAGTTCTGGGGTTTATGCAAACTGGGGCAATTTTTGATGGGGTTTTGACCAATTCGCCCTTAGATGTACTAGAAATAGGATTGATCAAAAGTATATACTGTATTATCAGATAGTAGATCTTATGCATTTATTTCTGAAACTCATTTGATCGTGATGAAGATTACAATTTACAATTGAGAATCACTTGGAAGAGGATTACCGAAGAATAGACACAGTAGCGCCACTGCCAACAGCAACCACAACCAAAACTCTGGCCTGCTCTTAATCAAGAATGGAGGACATAGCAATTTGATTTCCTTATCCATGCCCAAGGAACTCAAATTATTGAAAGCACCTTCAAATTGAGCCTCTTTGCTAGTTTCTTTATCATTCTTGTTTCTAAGAATCTGTGTGTGTTCGCTATCTTTCAATAATGACAATTCTTCTTCTATTAACTCCGTTGGCCATACTGCCTCTGAGTTTGATTCAATGGAAGAGTCAGGAGTACCTTCCAAGTCTTCTCTTTCTCTCTCCATTTCGTCGCCTTCACCAGCATATTCTACTTCTTCGAGGGGCGCAGATGGTATTTCTCCCAAAAATGCATCATTAACATGTGTAACCTCAGGTTCATCACCCTCTGCAATCGTTGAAGCCAAGTCCGAATGATTTTTCTTTATGCTGTCTACAAGTACGGCTTCATCAATGCCCAAGGATGAAATTCCTCCACAACATGTAAGGAAGCTTCCATCATTAGTCATATCAACAATATCCGAAGTCCAGAGGCTCTCAGCCTTTAAATTTCCAGATTCAAGCCTTTGGTCTTCCCAGGTGGATGTCTCTTTGTTGACATAGTTTCCCATTGTCGATATCTCATGCTGATCATCATCATAAGTATAGCGTTAATTTATGCAATAAACCTCAAGAAAACTAGTGAAAGCAGCAGTAAGTAAGTACATTACCTTGATAGGAGCTTCAGTAGTCTTTGTCTCAGAATGGTTATCAATCTGGATAGGAGTGACCTTTAATGGGCATACTTCCTCCATGTTTGAGCCAATGAAAGAGTCGTGAGTACCTTCTGAGCTTTTTGTTTCTCTTTCTGTTTTATCTTCTTCACCATTATATTCTTCTACTTCTTTAAGTGGCATTAACAGATTTTCTTCACTAACATGTTTAATCTCAGGTAGGTCACTCTCTTTAATTATTGAGACAGTTACTCTAGAGTCAGATTGATCTTCCGCTTCTATGCTATATATAAGTAAGCCTTTATCAATATCCAATGATGGACTTTCTTCAGAACTTCCGGAAAAAATTTTAGCCTTACAGAGGTTCTCATCCTTTGAATTTCCAGATTCGTTCTTGTGATCTTCATGGATGGACACGTTTTCGTCTACATAATCAGTAGTAGCTGATGTCTCTTCCTGAACAACATAATCGTTATCATGTTAGTTTATAACGTCTTCCATAGAAAAGTAAGCAAACCAGTAGAAGATTATGAGCTAGCACATTACCATGATCATAATTCCAGCTGTCTCAGTCTCAGAATGATCATCAACCTGGGTCGAAATGGCCTTTGATGCCTCATGTTCAATACTACTGCTTCAAGTGCAAAGAATTATGTCAATTACACTAGTTCAGAACAGAGATTACAGGGAAAAAAGACTGTACTAGTGTTTTCTATTTGTTTTGTACCTTTGATGATATTCTAATGATGGTGATAAAATCTGAAGAGCAGAACAAAGCAGTTTGCTTTCTACTTCTTCACTGCTGCTGTTGTTGCGACTGTGCTTGCTAGTCTTAACCATATCCATAACATCCATTCTGTTTGAGTTTCCAGACTCGATCATTTTAGCTTCACAGGTGGAGATCTGTTCCTCAACATTGACGTCAATAGTTGATATTTCTTCCTGGAGAAACATCACCATAATGCATGGTGTCAATTAACAAACCCTCTACAAGAAAACTACTAAAATCAACACTGAAACCAATAATAGCAAATTACCTTGTTCTTAGTTTCAACTTGCTTAGTCTCCAAATCACAACCAATCTCGGTTGAAGAGACCTTAGATGGATCATATTCAATGGAGCTGCTAGTGCTACTGCCAAGAAACATGTTAATAAGTTGAAACTCGACACAGAAAAAAAATCATGTAGCATGAACAAGTGTTAATTCATTCATATATTTTTTTGTACCAGTTATGAGACTCGACTGATGGAGATGAAGTTTGAAGAAGAGAACGAAGCCCTTCACTTCCTTCTTCTGTATTGCTGATATTTGTTTTCTGCTTTGGACTAGGTGGACCTTCCAGGTTAGTTGTATCAGGTTTTTTGTTGTTGCCTTTGTTCTTGATCAAACTTGCAGCAGCAAAAGCTCCAGCCAGAATCAAAACACCTGCAATCCCACCAACACCACCCACAACTATCTTCTGTCTTCTTTGCTTATAGATACTGTTGTTGCTTTTGATTTCCTCCATTTCTACTTACAGTATTCAATGGGAAAATTGTACAAGTGTTTTAATTTTGTGTTTGAAAAAGAGAAGATGGTAGATTGGTAGATGGTATTGGTGAGAATCTTGTTTGATAGGAGTGAGAAGCGGACAGCCTAGGTATCATCGATACTTAAGATGGCAGATGGCATCTTGTGTTGTTGAGTGAATGCTAACTAGTAGTATTAGGTTTCGAAATATAAGGGAATTGAACTGAATCTTTGCATTGACCGACCTGAATTATAGGTATATGATGTTGCATATATAATTTTTTTGTTTTTAAAAACTAAACTTATCTTTTGGGTCAGATTAGATGTCTTTGTTGTGCTATTTATTAATTAATTAAAATGTAGTCAAATAATCAATTAAATTATTGAGTGAGAGACACAAATAAATTGAATGGAGTAACAGGATCTATGGTGGCTATTCTTTAATCAAGATGCCGATTAAAAACTTTGAAAATTCGATTTCTCAAATATTGGCACCACATCCTTTCCATTTCTAATATTTTGAACTATGGATTATTGAAAATATTGAGTGCAATGTACTTCAATCATTGTGTCAGTGATTCAATGTTATGAAGTCATGTTCAAATATGGCATTCTATTGTTCAAAGTCAGAACATGTACATATAATAACATATGTCACAAAATTTTGTTTCATACACTACATGATTGACATATCTATTAGTGGATTTTTTTGACGAAGAGGCATTACATATGGACTAATGATAGCAAAAACAGAAACCTTCAATCAACTCATTATTCATCATATTCTTGGACATTTTTTTAAGTGTTCTTGCTTTTTGCTTCTGTAAATCAGAGCAGATCCAACCCGGCTAGAAAGCCCATTAACTGCATTAGTGTCCAAGAGCAACTGGACTCTGTAAAACTAAAAACAAAATACCCATTTCGGACGTATCACGTTCGCGGACTCGCCTAAAGCCTTAGAGCCCAAGAGGACACATTCAGTAATTGAGATATATTGTCAAGGGTAAAGTGATAATTTGATAGAAACCCTAACCCTAGCTCATAATGTTAAAACCCCCTTTTTCAGTTTTTTCTTTTCGTCTCTCGAATCGATCTCTCTTCTTCTTCTTCCTCATCTCTATATTTGATTTAGTGATCTGATTTGTGTTACGACTTTCGTTTAATTTGAGTTTTAGCTTTATTTGATAAATTTAAAAGTTTATTTGAATGCTTTGTTCTTCAAATGGTTTTCTTTAGATGTGTTGCGATGATGATATTTGTTAATACCCAGCTCATTATGAGACCTTTCTTTGTGATTGGTCGAAGAAAAGATTTTCCTTTTAACACATTATCTGAGCAAATTGTGCTATTTTTATTTCAATTTGTTTTCTTTTTTGATTATCTTGATTTTGTATATTAGTTCTATTAAGATTTTTCTATTTGGAGAGTGTTGACGATTGTTCCCTGTGATGTTTCAAACCATGCTAATACTGAGGCTCATCATTGATGAATCTAATTTTAATGTTCTGAGGGAACTTTTCATAAAAATTTAATCTTGCTGTTTTGACTGTCTCTTTGGTTCTGAAATCAAGTTTAATTTTTCAGGGCAAAAACAAATTGCGTCGTTTGTTTTAGTAATCTGTTGCGTCTTTGGTACATTGTCAATGTCAGGTTTGGTTCAC